TCACATAGTTTATTAAAAAATTAAAAACTAAATTGAGTCATTAATAAAGAAAAAGAAAGCATTAAGGAATTGAAAGAATTACTAATTCTGATATCAACAATAACCGGTTATACACTTACTCTCTAATTCAAATACTTAAACTATCGGATACACTGTTATACTAATTTTACTTTCCACAAGGATATAAAAGTTTTTTTGGCTGACAATATAAATGATTCACCGCAACTTGATTGTATTCACTTTTAATTTCTGATATTCAATGAAATTGTTCTTGCTTGCTTTAGGAAAAACGAAAAGAAAACAATTTTATATTTTAAAAAAGGAAAATATACCTTCTTTATTTTTCTTTTGTCCCACCAAAGAAATCCCAATACTCTTCAGGAGGCTCCGACCTTTGAAGGAGATGAGACAATACTAAGTCACAAGCCTCTATAGAAAAAGTCCCTTTATATTGTTGGGAAAATGTTTAAAAAATTCTGAAAAACCTGTTGAATTTGTTAGGGGTAGGCAAATAATTTGTGAATTTGCAAATCCGATCCGCATGGATTGCTGCACCCACATATTGGGTGGAGGATTTAAAAAAATTAAATCCTTAACTCATGGATCGGATCACCTATTAAGCTGTTAAAATTCGATCCGATCCGTGAATCCGATATATGTGAGATTTATATATATATATTTGAAGAATGTATTAATTAATTTAATTAATTAATAATCTTTAATGGACTCTAAGAATATATTAGTTAATGATCATTTAAATATATGAATTAATATTGATCAATTAAAATTTTATCTGGGTTATGCTTAAAAAATAAACAATATTAAACTATTTACAAAAAAAAATCCAATTCCGTGGATCTGTTGGGCTTTGTTTATGAATTTTGGACCAACTTAACGAGGGTCCAGTCCATACTGGGCTGCCTGTTAAATGATACAAAACTGTTGGGTCAGTTTTAAGTGTGAACGTTTGAAGGATGAATAAAAAAATAAAAAGTTTGACACTCTATTTCAATTAAATTCTTGCATTATATATTTTACTTGAGAAAAAATATGTGTTTAATTAATATAAATAATTAATAGGATAAAGTACAGTCACACCTTTTGAGATTTGGTAAAAGGACACTTAGATGAAACTTGCCTATTTTTTGGACAAAGACATCCCCTGAAGGTTCAAAAATGAACAAATCCACCCTTTTACATGAGAAATTGACTAAATTATCCTTTAACCGTTTAAGAAACTTTTTTAACTTTACAATTTAATAAATTAGACCAATCTATCCTTATGAACAATTTATGTATAAAAAAAAAAAAAAAAAAAAGTAACCAAAAGAAAAAACTTTATATTGTTCTTTTTTTTTTTTTTTGTTATTTACTTTATAAATGTCCCAACTTCTTAAAAATGTAGACGTCTAAAATGATTTTTTGATCCAATACATATATTTCAAATAAATTATATTTTGTTATTACTTCTTTTCCTTTTCTTTTTTATTTTTAAATTAAGATGCTTAATTCTTTTATCTAAAAAAATTAAACCAATCTTTTTTTCTTAAAAATAAAAAATATGGTACCAGTATAACTTTATGTATCTTAAATTGTATATCAAATATTATGCATTTTCCAACATAAAAGGGAAAAAAAATAATAATAAAACAAAGGGAAAAAAATAATAAAACAAAGGAAAAAAAAAAAAAAGGCATGCATAAAGTTATACTGATACCTAATTTCTTTTATATTGGAAAATGCATAATATTTTATATATAATTTAAGATCCATAAAGTTATACTAGTACCATATTTTTTATTTTTATGGAAAAAAGATTGGTTTAATTTTTTTTAGATGAAAGAATTAAACATCTTAATTTAAAAATAAAAAAGAAAAAGAAAAGAAGTAATAACAAAATATAATTTATTTGACATATATGTATTGAATCAAAAAATCATTTTAGACGTCTACATTTTAAGAAGTTGGAACATTTATAAAGTAAATAACAAAAAAAAAAAGTGAACAATATAAATTTTTTTTTTTTTTTTTTACTTTTTTTTTATACATAAATTATTCATGAGAGTAGATTGGTCCAATTTATTAAATTTTAAAGTTAAAAAATTCTCCTAAATGGTCAAAAGGTAATTTGGTCAATTTTCATGTAAAGGGGTGTCTTTGTCCAAAAAACATGTAAGTTTTCTCTAAGTGTTCTTTTACCAAATTTCAGGGGGTGTGGCTGTACTTTACCCTAATTAATAAGAAAGATCAATAAAATATTTTTTAAAAAAAATTCCTGCATTACTTTTTTTAAAAAATATTTTATTGATATTTCTTATTAATTATTTAAACTAATTAAGCACATATATTTTTTCCTCACACACTTTATTTATTTTAATTCAAAAAAATCCCATTAAAATTGTCCATTGCTATATTTTTTTTTCCATTAAAATACACACATAAAACAACGATCAAATTATGTTTCGTAAAACTTATTATCATAATATTGTTCTATGTTTGGAATTATTATTACTTGATATTAAACTCACTACTTATTATCATCTATTATTATTTGTTAATTTAAACTAATAATTTATACCAAGAATATTATTGGGAATAAACAAAAAAAACAAATTGTTACTTTTAAATATATGTAAGATATAATTGTTTTAAGGAAGTACAGAAATCTTAATGTCCAGATTGGAAATTACAAAAATAATAAATTATAATTTATTGAATGGTTAATATTATATATATTCTAATAAAGTAATTTAATGATATTCTCCGAATAATACACGTAAAGGTAATTTATGTATTACTTTTGGGTAATAAATTCTGAAGTTTTAGATAAGAAAATAAAACAAAATATAGAAAGGTTTTGGAGAATATTTTGTGACATTTGTTACTTGTTGTAGAGCAAATAAGCTACCATCAATATTTATAAGGACTACTAGTGTCTCAAATCTAACGGTTGAGCGAAAAATAGAATTCTCACTAAAGAATATCTGGAATATTAAATTTTAGAAATTCTATACATCTCTGTACAATAATTCTATACACTTCTTCAATAATAATTCTATACTAATAAGTGTATTAGATTTTAATTGGACGCTGGCTAAACCACTTGTTCCTCCTTGTTAATACATGAATTTTGTCCCACCTATATGTAAAAATAAACTCATACACTATATTTTTGTTGAGTGGGTGTATCAATGGAGTGGTATGCCGCACTCAATACCTTCTAAATTTTAGTATGAGAACACCCTTTCTTTCTTCTTTCTTTTTTTTTTTTTTTTTTAGTGGGGAGTTATCTTTTCTTTTCTTTTTTTTTTAAATATTAAGTGTTCAATGATAAATGAAATCTCCATCAGTTAAAATATTTTTAGACTTAAGTCTTACTTTATAATTTATGTCATATAAAACATTTAATTGAATAATCCTAAATTGAGTCATTAATAAAGAAAAAGAAAGCATCAAGGACAAATTCCAAATTGATATCAACTGTTACGAGTTAGGCACTTAACCTCTAATTCAAATACTTAAACTATCAACCTCTAATTCAAATACTTAAACTATTGGATAGTGTTATACCAATTTCACTTCCGACTCTAACGGTAGGCTAGTAACTTATAACAATTTAAGTGAAATTGTTCTTTCTTGATTTAGGAAAAAGTAAAGAAAACAATTTTATTTCAAAAAAGGAAAAAAATTCCTTTTTTTTTTCTTTTGTCAGGACAAAGAACTCTCACAATAGTCTTCAGAAGGATCAAACCTTTGAAAGGAGAGGAGATAATACTATTATTAAGTCACTAGCCTCCGTAGAAAAAGTCCCATTAAACGGTTGGGAAAATGCTTCAAAAATTCTGAAAAATCTATTGAATTTGTGACAATAGAATTGGGTTATGAGAATGGGCCTTTAATGTAAACTTTTAAATGGGAGATTTATGCTTTTAAATGGATAGACTGTTGGGCTTACTCTAAAACTTTGAACCAATTTAATGAGGGTCCATTCCATACTGTTGGGCTGCCTCTTAAATGATATAAAGCCATTGGGCCAATTTAAAGTGTGAACGTTTGAAGTCTGACTTCTTTTGTAATTCCTAAACAAAGGAGATACGTTCTACCAAATCAAAAAATTTTGGTTGCGCCAGTTGCACCGCAACGGAACCGTTTGCGTGATGCACACGCATATGTGCAAGAAAGAAAGGTCCAATGCGCTCAGTGCACGGTACAACAAACGCAACCAAGTTTTTCTCCTCCCAAAGAACTAGCCCATCCTCAAAAAGTGTGTGCCAGTACTTTCCTTATCAAAAAAAAAAAAATTCAAGATAAGTGTTCGACATACTTTTTGGCTATTTTGACCGAATTCCTTTGAACTTTCCGGGAATATTTTGGTGCTTTTCAAGCAATTAATTCATATTTTATGACATTACTGTTGGGCTTACTCTTAAACTTTGGACCAATTTAATGAGGGTCCATTCCATACTGTTGGGCTGCCTCTTAAATGATATAAAGCCATTGGGCCAATTTAGAGTGTGAACGTTTGAAGTCTGACTTCTTTTGTAATTCCTAAACAAAGGAGATACGTTCTACCAGATGAAAAAATTTTGGTATTCCTTAGAACTTTCCGGGAATATTTTGGTGTTTTTCAAGCAATTAATTCATATTTTATGACATTATTGTATTTCATTATTACGAAGTTTTAAGTGGAAGGTGACCACTTGAGAATCATCTTCACCAAAGGACATGTGACACTCTATTTCAATTAAATTCTTGCATTATTTATTTTACCTGAGAAAAAAAAAATTCCTGCATTATTTTTTAAAAATATAAATTTTATTCATCTTTCATATTAATTATTTAAATTAATTAACCACATATTTTTTCCTCACACACTATTATTTATTTTAATTCAAAAAGAAAAAATCCCATTTAAATTGTCCATTGCTATATTTTTTTTCCATTAAAATACACACATAAAACAACCATCAAAGAGCAACATCATGGTCATCCATACTATGTGAATCACACAAACTAATGCAGTATTCCCTGCACTAAATTGAGTGTGACAAAATTCAATAATTTTACAATGCATTCGGTTGAATCTCTTCAAATGTAACCCTAATATACTTCGAAGTTAAAATAATAAGTGCTTGTTGTTTCAATATTATTGCAATTAATCAATACAGTACTACAAAAATAACTTTATTTATAAATTTGCCGCGCAAAAGTTGGAATCAACAATGAATTTTTAGGCCTCAACCATCACCATTTAGATTGGGTAATAAGCAAACCACCTCTCGACCATATTCATTGACTCCTTGTGCTTGTACTCTGGAGCTGTATGTCCTGCCCCCTATATAAAACCAAACAATATACGCACATATATATATAAGCTTTTTTTTTCCCAAAAAAAAATTTTAAAAAAAAGTACGAAAAATCACATATATAAGCTTTATTTGTGCAAATCATAAAAAATGATAAATTAATTGGAGGTGTAGCTGGTTGTGCTTGCCTTTAGAGTTACATATGTCAAACGGAAGTTATCGTTCGTGTACTTCTGTAGGTACCTGCATTATAGTTAATTTGTGTGACCATAAGGTGGCTGCAAATAATTCGAGTCTAGAAAAACATTCTAAAATCGAGAAGAGATCGAATTTTTAATGGAATGTCATGTTTTCAAAACTCACCCTGCAATTTGTCCGTCAACGTACCATGGTCGCCATTGATCAAAAATAGGCACTTTGAGATTATTTACCCAACTTAGTGTCCCAATGTATGGAACAGAAATGTCGTGATCACCACTGCAGAAAATGAAAATATCGAAAAATCCATGAGAGAAATTTGGATACATGATTCTCAAAGGTATTAATAATCAATTTTTAATAAATAAAATTCATTTTCTTCTGCATTGTCCTTTTGGAAGATGAACTAGCACTATCTGAGTCAAAACAAAAAATGCAAGTTCTTGGTTCTTGTAATCTGTTTAAGGCATTGATCATGAATTTAAAGTTGATTCCTATTTTTGTTCTTTTATTTTTATGAATTGTTGTTTGTATGAGTCAAAAAGTTTATACAACTGAAAACAGTATATATATATATAGTACCTGTAAATAAGAGCTCGCAGACCTGTCCTTGTGAAATTCTGGTGATAAGCAATAGTGCTAGAGATTTCTTCTGTGTAGAATGGCAAGGATTTAAGACATCTCATCCAACTACTCTCCAATGTACCCTGTTTGGAATCATGGATTAATATATCCCATTTATAACATTTCCGAATCTTGGGACTTACTTGGTTTATAACTCTAAGAACAGAAAACAGAAAACTGAAAACTGAAAATTGTACAAAAAAAACTCTGCTTGGTTCAATTTTCTGATAACTCGGTTATAAAAAAGTCTGTTTTTTGTTCTTCAGATTTACGAACCAAACAAACCCTTGATTTCTCACACAGTGGAATTCACATACCTCCCGGACATAAAGAGCCGCTTTGACAGCATCATCATTTGCCCATTTGTGGGAAAGCATATAACCAAAGCTCTGCACCAGAAGAAAATTAGTAAATTTTGGAGCTCTTTAAGCCAAAACGACGAAACTATGCCAAAAAAATGGTCTTCATTTCTATCAGTAAGCGGTTTTTTGATCAAATGACAAAGACAAGGAATAGAAATTTACGCGACAAGTTAACTTGGGAAGTTTGTTCTGCGAAAGAAGATATTCCATCTCTTCAGCTTCCCGAACTCTCAAGTCCCATTCTATTTCCTTTCGCCTTGGGGCTGCAAAAGCACATTGTGGTTCCAAAATATGTACTAGGTTTATTTGTAGGAGGCACTGCAAATCCAAAGGGTTCATTCCTTTTTAGTCCCTATGAGTTTGAAGATGAAATATTTGTATAGTGTAAGCAAAAGTAGTAACTGTTCTAACCTGTTTGATTGCATCAAGACTTGTCACGCATAGCGAGTTGTTAAAATCTATGTTTATATAGTCACCGTTGCAAAATAATTTGGCTCTCTGCAATAACACACAGACATTTAGAAATTTATTAGTCATGGTATGCAAACCAGAAGAATAAACCTAACCAAAAAATAAATTAAATTAAATTAAAAATTAAGTGTAGGTATGAACAGAGTAGAACTGAGAGTATAAATTGATAGGGGGAAAAAAAAAATTGACGTCGGAATATTTAATTAGAAAAAAAAATTAAACAGAAATGTGATGAATTATTGAGATGCTAATATATCTTTATCCCAACAAAGTATATAGGAAAATAAAAAGCATCAATTTGATTGATATGGAGAAAAAAATAACCCTCATATCGAAAATACTATGCAAGAAAGAGGAATGTTCGAATTTTTGAGACAAAAAATGAGAATTGTCACCTCATAAAGCTCATCTGAGATTAGGTTCACCCTGTGAACATATGGGATCCTTGAATTATCATCAACGAAACTATCTGTAACTGGATTTCCAAGAATGTAACCCTGAAACCGATTCAAGCAACACTCAATTCAACCAAAATTTTCAGAACTTAAAACCAATATTCTGTTTCTGATTGCCAAAAGGACGATAGTGAAAGAAGAACGAAATTTTGAATATTACAACAGTTTCAACCCTAAATTTTTCACACTTATGAAGCATGAGGGACTGATAAATTGGAATGAACTATAAACTAAATGAAACAACAAAAAATTATGTTATCAAGTGACATACTTGGAGTCCCATATCCGGCTCATTCCCGGCTTCAATACCTGCAAGCTCCATCACCAACAAAAAGTTGAGCTTAAAAGTCAACAAAAAAAAAAAAAAAAAAAAAAAAAGGGCAAAACATCTGGTTTAGAGTATAAACAGATTGCCATGAAAACAATTACCGTCTAATATTGTTTGTACAAGGAGTGGAAGGGTAAATCCAGAATAAGAATCACCACCAATGTAGAGTGGATTTGCTTGAAATTGTGGATGAGATGTCAACCACTGTGTCACAGCACAAAAAAAAGGTCAAAAATTCTTTTACATAGTTAGAATGCTTCAGAATACAAGTTGTTCAACTTAGACATGAAAGAAACAGCCATAACAATACATAATTACTGATATCAAAGCTGAAAAATCATCGTTTTCCGATTATTCAATCACGGAAACATTCTTCTCATTCTATTAGAAATTCTAACTCACCTTTCTCAGGAAACTATAGGCCTGTGCCACTGCTTTTGTGTCTGAGGTATTTTTACCGGATTCGGTTGTAGCATAGGAATATCCAGTTCCAACAGGTTGATCTATGAATATTATGTTGGCAACCTATAACACCATAAACACTTTCCGACTGTTAAAAATGGCCATAATTCATACAAGGGTAAAGTGTAAAAAAAAAAAAGTGCAAAAACCCTCCTTTGTGTAAATAAATAAAAACCCTACATTTTTTAAATTGAGCAAACAAGGACACTTTCTCAATTTGAAGACTTAAATAACTAAAATGCCCTTAAAGAAAAATAAAAATAAAAAACACTAATATACAAGGGTATTTTGTGGTTTTCATAGAAATTGTCAAAATTGACGATGAGGGGGTAATTTGCATAAATTTTCAAATGTTAGGGATTTATATACACATGCTAAATTGAAGGGGTGTTTTTCGCACTTGATGTATATATGCATACATATATATATATATTTGAGTTATCTGAATTGTACCCTTGTCCATGAGTATTTGTTCACAACAAGAGTAGGTAAGCTTCCATTCCAAGCCTCAACATCAAATGCTAGTGGACCTACACAGAAGGAAGAATATTTGTCAAGACATATCTCACAAATATGCTGAAATGCAAGGCCAAGTCTTCAATCTGGATATTGTGCATTCCACAACAGTTTTTCTGTTCAAATTCTATACAGACATTTAATCAAACACCTGGCGAATGACTTCCTTATGGTAAATGATAAATGCAGCTCTCTCTTTTCTGCCCATGGTTATGCTATTTTTTTTCCTACGTATCGATTTAACGTAATAGGGTCATTGCCTAGTGCAATGGTAAATTACTCGGATTGTCAAGCATGAAAATGTGAGTTTGAATTCGGAGAGCAGTCACTTTGTGCAAAAAAAAAAAATGACAAAAATTAGGTTTGTATACCGTTGGCCCCTCCTTGAGGTTGACTAATGATCCTTTAATAATTAAAACATTATCAAGCCAAATGTTCTTTAGAACATGGTATACAGAATAAACAAAGTGTCAATTGGGACTCTCCAACAACCATTCTAAGTAATGGTGGTTGTAACACTACATTACTTATTTTCAGATTATCATTAATTGCAGCTACCAAACAGGGCCCAACTGGAAATAAAACCTTAGACAAAGTAATAGCAGAATTTATGGAGCAATACTTGCGAAATCTACACCATCCTTACCCGTGATGTGGACCAATAACAAGTGAACACACCATCCGTAATTATTAAATGAAAGATGTGGGATGTGCCCACTATGTCTTATTTGGTAAGTAAATATGTATACACTATATTTGATTTGGTAAATAAAGAGGATATATTCATTTATTATTGGTTCACATCACCGGTGAGGATGGTGTAAATCCTTACCGATGAGGACCCAAGCATCGTAAAGATAATTGCTCCACATTATGACAAAGACTTGTTGGACCCATTAGGCCTTAGGCTCTGTTTGGATGGAGGGATTTGGAGGGATAGTGAGGGAAAAGAAAGTAAAGAATAGTGTAGTTTGGGTTGTTGAAAATAAGAGAGATGAAAAGATTTGGAGGGATAAGGATCCTCTTAAACGTGAGAAGATGGGGAAGAAAAGAATACTGAGTTAAGTAGTATTTTATAATTCAGAAACTGCTTTTTCCAATTAGAAGGTGAAAATTGTTATTCCACTCATGTCGCATCTAATTAAAAGGGTATGATAGTAATTTAGTTATTATCCATTTATTTCTTTTATCTCTGTCTATCCAAACATGAATACAGATTATTGCTATTATTTTTTTTCTTTCCTTTTCTATTATAACTAATTTTATCATTTTATTTCTTTTCTCTCTTATGTAAAGGAACCTTAGATTTAATTATTCTTTTCTAGATGATCCAATTCTTACTGGGCAATTTTTTTTCCAAAATTCAAACAAAGGTACAATACTTACAATATTGCCCCTAAAAGAGCTGGAACTCTATTTGAATGTTTGAATAAAAAATGGTCATACCCAATGAACAAGGCTCCGCCATAAAATAGGGCCTCAAAGAGATAAGAGTTGGGAATGTTCGAACTAAATATGGTACTCAATTCCAATTCTAAGCCGCGGATTTAATGATTAATCACAACGAACAATCGAATTCGATTCTATTTCTTAACAGTATAAGAAGAATACCGATTTCATAAACGAGAGCAGATAAACCAGAACAGCCAGGGCCTCCGGTGAGCCACAGCATAAGAGGGTCAGTGACAGGGTCTCTCTCAGACTCAATGAAGTAGTAAAACAGTTGCACGTCATCAGTATCACCTATGCCAATGTATCTACACACAAAAAACACACATTACAATCAATCTCAAACTTCTCCAAATCCAAAAATCAATCGAAAATGGAGTAAAAGAGACCCAAAAAACTCACCCAGTTTCAAGTTTAAAGGGTAGCTCTCCATCGAATCCCGGCAGGGTGGTAACAATTGACTGTGAGTTTGTGACACCAATCCCAGAGAGAGCCAGCAAAAGTAGTACACACAAACACATCTCATTGACATAACTTCTTGAATTCAACATCATTTCCAAAAGTAATTAAAAAAAATGGATTAGAACCCAAAAATTTGTACTGGATTGGGGACCTCTTAACCTATGCTCATTTGATCATTGTTATATGTTTAAATAAAATGTGTGTATATATATATATATCATGTTATAACTTATACATCCGAAAGTATTGTAGTTGTCACGTGTTGTGTTGGTGGATGAAAAAACCGTTAGGTGTACTGGGTGGCTATAGCCCACTTTCAACTGAGTCAATTTGATGCACCTGAGTCTGTGGGTGGTTTGGGCTGGCCAATGGTTAACAAACTTTCCAGAGTCGAATGGACTATAAGGAGGAAGCTAATTGACTATTTGGGTTGTATTTACAGTGGTGAGCTCTCTCTACCATTCTATCTTCTTGACTTTAAAGTTTGTATATACTTGGATGGACAAAACCACCCAAATCTTTCTTTAGGGATTTCATTTTCAACCAAGTACAGTGTCTTTTTATGCCATTGAACATTTGAACAAGTGCAATCAATTCATGATGTTATTGACTGGATTGACGAGAACTAGAAGAATATGCCCTATATAGGACAGGACTCGAACTAAGTTGCAAAAATTAACAGAAAACTGATTAAACACTGAAGTAAAAACGTACTTATTTTAATTGGTTCACCAAAACGGATAAGAAATTAATTAATAAATAAATAATTTCAAAATAAGACAATATAATCAATGCAGAATAATTAACGGGTCAAATGTTCAAATCTTAGCGGAGCCATTTGTGTGTGCTATGATAACAGAAATTTGGATAGCATATCTCAAGAGGTTGAGTCAAGTGGGAAAGTGATACAAGGGGGAGTTTGTCCAATATCGAATCCAGATGAAAAAATAATTAGATATAAATGGGTAGGTATGTAGTACTACCCAATAACTTAAGTTTTTGGGTAAATGGGCAAGCGCATACCCGTTTCAGTTGGTATTAGATCCAAACCCAATCTTTAAATCGATATCACGCCAAACGCCCGACCCAGAGGGCGTCCGAATCTTCATCCCTGGTAGGCAGGGTGACCCGAGCCGCAACGAGGGTATTCCAAGTTCAAGTGGGAGAGAATGTTGTTATAAGGGAAAGTTTATTCTACATCGAATCCGGATGGAAAAATAAATGATTAGGTATAAATAGGTTGGTATGCAGTACTACCCAATAGTTTAAGCTTTTAGGTAAATGGACAAGCGTCCACCCGTTTCAGTTGATACCAGAGTCAGATCCAATTCTTGATTCGGTATCACGTCAAGCAGCCGGTCCGGAGGGCGTTCGGGTCTTTACCCCCAGTAGGCAAAGTGGCCCGAGCCGCAACAAAGGCGTTGCAATTTCAAGAGGGTGAGAATATTACAAAAGGGAGCTTGTCTCACATCGAATCCGGATGAAAAAATAATTGTGTATAAATAAGTAGGTATATAACACTATCAAATAATTTAAATTTTTGAATAAATGAGCAAGTTCTTGCTCATTTCAGAAAGTTATTTCCAAGGGCGGAGCTAGGATTTTGAGGTTAAGGGGGTCAAAATTATAAATAACATTACCTAATTAGAACTTTGGAAAAAATATATATATATTACGTAAGCAAAAATATTTTACTATTTATTATATTCATACAAAAATATATCTATTTAAAATTTTTTTAATTTATTTAAATAAAAAAAACTAGTTATTTAAAGAAATTTTTTATCAAACTTTCTGAACAAACACAAATAAAATTTATGTCAAAATTATAAAAAAATTCAATTAAATAACTCTCTTTATTTACCGAAAAGGAAAAAAAAACAAAAATAACTTTAAAAAAAATGTAACAATTGAAAATTTAACAAAACAATAACAATGATAAAAAAAAATAATAAAAAAAAACACACACACACACAAATAAATTAATAAAATAAAATTTTAGATTCTTAAATCATTGATTTTTGTTGATATTCAAAACTTCAAATGAAATTTTTGTTCTTGATTTTGTAAAAATTAATTTCTTATAAAATTCTTATAAAAGCATTTCAATAAAAAATAAAAAATAAAAAAAAAAAAAAAAAAGTGATGGAAAGAATCATGTATGAGATGGAATTTTAGAATAATAAGGTTATAAAAAGAATCGTGCTTGTAGTCACATTATAGAAAAAACGGTATTTGAGTTGAAATTTTAAGAAAATCACATTAAATTTTTATGTAAATTAATTTTTATCGGGATTTTATAATCGTTAATTAAACCACTATATAAACTATCTTTTGTTAAATTCTAATTAAAGAAATAATTTTTTTTTCTTAGGGGGCCCAAGTATAAATTTTATACTATATATGCTATATTATTTTATTTTTACTTATACTAAAAAAAAAAATTCCAAAAAATTAGGGGGGCCTCGGCCCCGCCGGCCCCCCTTCTCTCCGCCCCTGGTTACTTCCCGATATCTCATGGATCAAATCATTTGAGAGGTTTAAAGGACAAGAAAATGGGATTGCCTTTATATATATATATATATATATATATATATATATATATAGGACAGAGAAGGATAGGTAGTGAATCATCATAATCGTACTAAATGAAGGCAAACTCGTGTGTGGGGAGGAGCATTTCTTATTTGGGTTCTTGGGGATGTTGGCTACTTTTTCATTTTCACCCTCCCTACATCAATCATGAAATCCCCAACAATTCACCTTCAATTCATGCCTCCTCGAAGCTTCTTTAGAACAGAGTGGTTCCATCTTTATTCACAATTTGGAAAAGAAAGTTTGATTCTTAAAGGAGAGAATAGGGTCTTTGGAATTTAGTAGAATGAAACAACAGGAGTTGCTGGTGTTTGTGAACTTTCATTTTTTTTTTTTTTTTCAAATCCATGTGTTTTTTGTCAATGACATAAAAATTAAAATTAAAATTAAAATTAAAAATTAAAAATAAAATACACAAATAAAATTATTAATTCATTATTCATTTGTTTTGAAGCTGTATAGAAATGAATAAGTAAATATTATTTTAAATTGTAGATTTACATATTTAATTGAAATATAGATAGTTAATAGAAAAATTAAATATAAATAAAGGCTTTGTAGAGTGTTTATACATGTATTCACACAGTCCCCAACCTGTTTTTTCCTCTCCCTCTACTTTGAATGGTAGAAATCAAATAGACAGTAGAACTAGATATCTATATATATATGTATGTATAAACTCATTGCATTTATGTTTCACTGTCATTAGGCTTAATTTCATGGGAAAACTATATTTAAGTTGAGTTAGTAGTTCTAAATAACAAAGTGTCTATTTTATAAGTTTATTTTTCAATTTGGTTTAATTAAGTAAAATAATTACATATGCATCAATAATTATTATTTATGTCCAAAATGCCTTCTAAACTTTTATTTCAAAATGTTAAATTATCTTCCTTAAATCAAATAATTCATTCACACAAAAAATTTAAGAAAATACAAGCATTGTGTCCCTAATTAAATGTAAATGTAATTATTCATTTTTTGAAATAACATATTGGAGGGCATTTCGGACCTCAATAATGATTCTTGATGTATGTGTAATTATTTTGCTTAATTTAATCAAATTTAAAATTGAACTTATAAAATAGAATACTCTGTTATTTTGGACTCATAACTCAATGTAAGTGTAGTTTTTCTAATTTCATTTTACTTAGAACAAAGGGTTTCATTTACAGCTAAATGTTTTTTCATAGTTGTTTTTTTTATTATTATTATTTTAAGTTTTTTTTTGGCATTATTATTATTTTAATTATGACATTCTAATGGTAACAGTTTTTTTTTTTTTTTTTTTTTTTACTTAGTTGATGGTCATTTTAGTCATTACAACAAATTATTTTGGCGACGATGAGAAGGCATTCGTCATAATGGGCCAAATCACAGGCCAACACGGTGTGACTTTTTGTCCAAATTACGTAATTGTACATCACTTCTTAACGTCAATTAGTCTAATCAGTTTAAATTGAATGATCCTACATTTAAAATATTTTGAAAAAGTGTGACTTTTAATAAAGTTAGCTTGGACTTGTACATGGGTTTGGGTCCCAAGGGGCCCTGTACTTTTGTGGAGGGGAGAGAACCTAGGTTGGGTTTGGGTTTGGGCTTCTGAAGCTAATATTTTGTTTGGACACAATCAATTATACTCGGCTTGAGCCTGTTGGGCTTTTGCCTGATTCGTAATTATATTATATTATATTTTTTTTTTTTTTCTTTTCGGAAGGTAAAATGTTTCCTGCAAATTCAGAGTTTTTAAATGTTAAGAGGCTGCCCGCCCTTAAACCATCCCTATTCAAGGTGGTATTTAAGTCACATAAAGTGGAAGCGAGAGAGCGACAGAATTAAGTCATACAGTACTACATACATATTTATTTATATCATTTCACTTTTCATTAGATCCGTGAGACACCGCTAACATTCACTACATGTGTATTGATTTGATAAGGCCACATTGTACCATTCTCCAATGTGCAAATTGAGTGGTAAAGTAAGCCATCTTTGTGACATAGTAAATGTTATTGTAAAATTTATTTTATAACCAATGCCATGGAAAGATCAAACAAAGTGTTATTACTCAAAATGGTTACAAAATCAATAACATTGAACTATTTCGCATTGAAATTAAGGTAGAGAAATTGAAGCCCTGCAAGTGCCTTCTAGATAGGATAATAATGGATAAACCTATTATACATGTCAAAGCATTCTCTTCGCTTGTACTCTTGAGGTGAGTGTCCTGCACCCTATATATAGATGGAAACATAAAATCAACGTTAAAATTCTCTCAAACGCCTTATTTTAGAGCACCAAATCAATGTCTTGAAATCAAAATTAAAAAAAAAAGTTAGTCAAAACACACCATATTTTTCACTTGTTTCATTAATGCTTGTATGGTTTGTCACTCAACTAGAAAATTATTCTCAGACTACTTTAAAAAACTCTCCGAAAATAATTATTTTTATAACTGAGTTTTCATAAAACTGGATAAAACAATTTTTTGGTTTCTGATGAAAACACAAAACTGTTTTTAGAATTACAAACCAAGTAGAACCACAGTTTTTTTAAAACCGACTTTTTTTAACTAGGTTTTTAAAAAAACAATTCTCAGAAACTGTCAGTCAAAGAGATTTTTGTACAATTTTCTGGTTTTTCAAAACCGACTTTTTTTAACTAGGTTTTTAAAAAAACAATTCTCAGAAACTGTCAATCAAAGAGATTTTTGTACAGTTTTCTGGTTTTTCAATTCTCACAAAATAGAAAATTGTTCTAAGAAAACTAAACTAAACATGCCCTTAGTATTTCAAAGAAAAAAAACAATATTTACATTTTTTACTCACCAGAACAGTTGCATATGTTAATCGATATCCGGATCCGCGTCTTGAATACTTGATATTGTATCTACATTGAAAATGGGAAGAGAATTAAGAGAGAACAACATTGGAATTTCTAAGCTAAAACCAAATTTAAAGGGGAAAATTTTTGGATGGATTGAAAGAAATCTATAAAAGTAGAAGCTGACCCTGCAATTTGGCCATCAACAAACCATGGTCTCCATTCAAAATCAACAGTCATATTATTCAACAACTTTATCCAATCTTGAGTACCAATGTTTGGAACAGTAAGGTCATGATCACCGCTATAAAAAATAAAAATAAAAATAAAATAAAATAAAAAACACAAGTAATGTTAGTTATTCAAAATTGTGAGCACCGAGAATCCGAGATAGAAGTGTGCAAAACGAATAATATCTACAGTGTTGGAGTGAATCGTGACAATAGAACTACTTTCGAAGATTAATATGAGTAGGGTTGTCACAAACAATGTTTATAACAACTGTGATGGTCAATTCATGAAGTGCAAAAAAATACTCAAAACTCAATAAGAAATTTGAACAATTACTTGTATACTAGAACTTGTAACCCTTTTGTACTGAGATAGCGATGAACATCAAGAACACTGTCCACATCCATTGAGTAATCCAATGTCTTATTGCATCTCTTCCAATCCTTTACTGTTCCCTGATTATCACCACATTAACAAAATCATCAATATATATATATACACACACACACATATATAATAATCGTTGAAGATCACATACCACTCGGACATTTAGAGCCTCTTGGACACTAATATCATTTGCCCAGACATAGGAAAGTGCATAATTGAAGTTCTGCAAATGTGGATTGAGTTATTTTTGTTGTTTTAAGCACGAAAATTTCTAATTTCGAGAGGGGATAAAAAAAAAATTTACATGACACCAAAAATCTGGAATTCTTGGAGGAGAGAGTATGAAATTTTCTGATTCTTCTTTGAGTAATCTTCTATCTGATTCTCCATCTTGATCTGGGGATGCCCAAGTGCACTTAGGCTCAAGAATGTCATTTTTGTTTAAGTCATGAGTCAACTGCAAAAATTTTAAACAATAACTCATCATTGATGCATATATTTCTAAAATATTTTAAAAAGCGTGACGAAAATTGGAATTTATTAATATAAAATCTCTCACCTTTTCGATCTTTTGAAGATTTATGTAACACTCTGAATCATCTGATTCTATTTCATAGTAACTCCCATTGCAACTTTCTTTAGCTTGCTGTGTGTTTGACAAAATCAAATTTTAGAACATTGTCTAATTTAAATTTGAACTATATGGTACTTAAATCAATGTCATATCTAATTAAATTACCTCATAAAGTTGATCAGATATAAACCCCATTCTATGGGAATATGTTATCTTGGAATTTTCATTTATAATTGCATCTGTTCTTGGGCATCCAACAATGTATCCCTAAGACAATTTCAAAGTACATTGTACTTAAATTAATCAAATTAATCTGAATAATGTGGAAAATTGAAGTGATTAAAATTAAATTATTAGGGTATGTACCTTGAGATTGAAGCGCGGAAAGTCCCCTGTGTCAGCTCCTGAAACATTAGGGTAAATCGAAATGAGCTTGGTGAAATGATTTTGGGATCACTTTCGAGAATGCTGCATAAGAAGATGAGAAATATTTGGTATCTTTCAAGAAAATTGGTTACCGTCTATTATATATTTGACAACGATGGGAGCGGATATGCCTGAATACGAATCCGCACCGATGAATAGTTGATTTGCAAGGAATTTTGGGTGATCGGTGAACCACTGCATTAAAATTTAAATTAAAGAATTTATTCAAAGAGGAACATAAAATATGATGTTCATGATAATTGTTGGTCCAAGAACCTTTTAAAATGTTTGCATTTATTTATTTATTGTAATTTTAAGATATTTTTACCTTTATGAGGAATTCATAAGTCTCTTGTGCTGATTTTGTGTCCCCAGTAGGGTACGCGCTCAAGTCTGATGCATAGGAGAATCCAGTGCCAACAGGGGCGTCTATGAATAATATGTTGCTACTCTGAAATTTATTTTTACATTCATTTATGGGATTAAGCAATATATATATATTGTACCAATTGATGATAAAATTATGAAGAAAATTGATTATAAAAAAGAAGAGGAGGGTGTGAAATGTTGCACCTTTGTCCATGAGTATGGGTAATACTGCAATGTTGGTATACCTCCTTGATAAGCTGTTATGTTGAAAGCTAGTGGACCTAAAATATATATATATGCATACATATAGATATACATATCATGAGATGTTCATAAAATCAAGAAGGAAGCTTTTATTTTGGGAACGATGTTTTGCTGTGCAAATGTCAGTTTTGGGCCATGAACAGTTGTCTACTGTTATAATTTTGGACTATGAACAATTGTAAAAAATATATATATATATTTTTTTAATGTTTTGGTTTTGAGTCACTGTTCACAAAATATTTTAGCACTGTGTAAAATAAAACAAGACCACACCAAATATGTTTTTATTATCAAAATCAACACCGTAACAATTTAAAAAATAAAAATAGCAGAAATAAATCGCACGTGAAATAGAGTTTTATTCTGTCCAAAATCGACCAAAAGAAAGACATAGTGAATGTGGACCCCACAAAACATGGTGGGCCTATAATATGGGGTCCATAGTCACCGTCTAAATTTTTCTGTTTTGTGAAAAATTGAAATAAAAAAATTATACAAAAATTTATTTGGTTACGTTTTCTGAATTTATGAGGAATTATTTTAAAGGAACTTGTAGAGAGAGAGAGAGAGAGAGAGAGAGAGAGAGAGAGAGTACCTATTTCATAAATAAGTCCATTGAAGGCAGAACAGCCAGGACCTCCACTGTACCAAACCAAAAGAGGATCCGAGTCTGGGCTCAATTCAGACTCAATGAAATAATAGAAGAGCTCTGATTTATTAACCGTTATGTATCTGAAAATCAAAAACCAACCCATTAAACAAAAAAATTATATATACATATATATGTATGTATATCGTCATCGACACCGCTAAAAAAAAAAAAAAAGAAAAAACACATACCCAGTTTCAAGCGTGAAGGGAAGTTCACCATCAAATCCAGGCAAGTGAGTGACAATTGAGCCACCAAACACTAAATTTCCAGAGAAGAAGACTACAAGGAACAAATGCAGAGACACCCAATTGACGACACAACTCGTGTAGCTGAATGCCATTGTTGGAAAAGCAGCTAGCTTCTCATATGATGCCTTGGTACACACACATGCACACACACCCTTGTGCTTTTATTTACCAAACTTAGTCGCTAGGCTACTCTGTGTTCTAACAAATCTAACCAAAAATATACTTATATATATATATACACACACATATGTATATATAATTGAACATTGGTTGTTACACTTCGAAATATGGAAATATTGGTAGAACCAAATTATACATTGGAAATGTAGTTGGGTTACGTAGACCTTTCTGGACTCCTATAGGCTATAGTCCTACGTGATTTAGGTAGGGTCCACATATATATGGTCAAAATCTTTTGTCCCTCATAGCTTGTATAACAAATGAGATTTTGGGTATTATTTCTGGCATGTGACGTAGAGTTATGCAAATTAGTAAATCTTTGTGAATAAAACAAATTAAATAAACTACCCACCTCATTATTGCAGTTGTGACTTAAAATCTGACCAAAAGAATATGTAACTAACCATCAAAATTAACCAAAACTGGTAGGTGGTTTTTTCTTACCACCTTTTCTCTTGTTCTTTTAGGGGGTGGAGTTTGAATTTGTAAAGCTGATATTTAGGCCAAAGTCAAGCATCACCTAATAAGAAAATAAACACGCAACAGGGGCATTCATGGTTCAGATTAGATTGATTTTAAATTATTTTGTAATCAAATTAAATTGTAAAAAAAAAAACTTTAAAATGGAACCGAATTGAATTGTGAAAAGGATTGAACCATATTGACTGGTTCGATTCAATGTGGATGAATTTTGTTAGAGGATTTATTAAAAAAAAAAAAAAACAAAAACAAAAAGTGAAGAGTAAATTTTGCTTTTTATTTGAGCACGTGGTTATGTATACATGGGAGGTTTGCATATTTGAACGTCCGCTGCCACCCACACAATCAGAAATTCACAATATGATTAGCTGTACGTTCCTGATGCACCAGAGCAATTTGTCGTCAACTTTTAGGTGTGAGAGGAGACTGAAAGAGGAGGTCCACTTATGACACGGAAGCGCGCGCGCAGAGAGAGAGAGAGAAAGAGACGGGAGTATTAGCAGGGATGGCAGCCGAGCAGGTTGGGGCGGGGATTTCATTCCCTATTTCTATCTCTGATGTATTTTTCATTCTCCATCTCTATTCTCATTCTCGCTTAAAATTTTGTCAGAATCCCCATACCCGCCCCCACCCCCGACACCTTATCCCCTTCCCCGCCCCGTCCCAGCCCCAGCCTCATAATTTTTTTTTATTAAAAAAAAAACATATTTTTTCTCATTTTCATATATATAATAAATCTAATTTAGTAATAAATTATTATATATAAGGGTATATTAGTAACTTCACACCTACTCGGGGCGGGGCGGGTTTACCCCATTTCCGCCCCCGCCCGGCGGGGATTGATAAATTGTCCCCATCCCCATCCCCATCCCTGTTTAGCTAAAAAGATCCCCATTCCCGCTATAAATGGGGCGGGGTCCCGGCAGGGATAGGGAATTTGCCATCCCTAGGTATGAGAATGACACAACAAATCTCATTCAAATAGGATACCATGTGGTAAGTTGACAAATAATAATATAATAATCTAATTAGTGTTCGAGTCTTATCCATATATCGACAAGTGTCCAATATTGTTATATATACACTAAACTATTTATATTGGGTTTAGTGTACAGAGTTAGAATAGAATAGAATGTCCATTTCTAATCATTCATTTGTTTGTTATGCAATTTAAGGTGCTAATGACCATTCTATTGGAATGAAAATCTAAACTTGAGAATGAAGATCCATTCCACAACTCTAAACCTATAGAATAACTATTCCATTCTCAGGTAAAATTTTTTTTAAAAAATCTAATTCTCAAAAACCTTCATATTTCAAGCCCAAAAACCACCACCACCACCACTACCTACCACCGTCATTGTTGCCTTCCACCACCACAACCGTCGTCTCCTTTCACCATTGCCTTCCACCATCGTCACTGTCCTTGCCGCCTTAAACCACCACACCGCCGCTACCTCCACTGTCTTCCACCACTGCCACCGCCTTCCACCACTACCACTTTCGACCACCGTCATCTCCATTGCTTTTTACCACCATCACCATTACTGTCGCTGTCACCACCACCATATTCCACCACTGCCACTTTCCACCACATACACCACTGCCCGCCTTTCATTACTACCATCACCACCACTATCATCGCCTTTCACCACCACCACCCACCACTGCCATTGACTTCCACTATCACCTTCTGCCACTACCATCATTACCGTCACTGCATTCCACCACCACCACCATCGTCACCTCCACTACCTTCCACCACCACCACCGCCACCTTCCACCACTACCGCTGCAATTGCCTTCTGCCATTATCACCTACCTACACCACTTATGCCTTCCACTACTATCACCACTTCTTCCACCATCGCCACCGCCATCACCACTGTCGTTACCTTTTACCAACACTATTGCCAACTTTCGCCACCACCACCGTTATTTCCGCTGCCCTTCCGCCACCACCTCTACCACTATTTACCACCGTTGTTTCTTTTAAAAAAAAAGTATAGAAGAATATTATTTTGTTAATTTAATTTATTTGTCATTAAGAAAATTATTTTGGAGAATTTAACTTAAAGATTCATTATATTATAAATTTAAAATTGGTTCAACCAAATACTAAAATAATTATTATTATTTCATTCCTACACATTTTATATTTGCAACCAAATAATAAAATAAGAATAAAGATTTCATTTCCATCCTTATTTCATTCCCACTTGTATTTTATCATATCAAACAAAACATTAATAGACAGCAGGGGATCCAAATCTTATTATCACACTAGCAGGCGATGCCCATTTTCAACCTTTTGTTCCCGTGCATGTATAGGATCCAAATTCTAATGGAGGTTTGAGGATTTTAGTTGCTGGGTTCTTAAATGGAGGTTTGAGGATGTTAGATTTCTCTTTATTTCTTTGATGTTCTTAGAATATTGCCTTAAACATGTATAACATTAATTTAATAATGTCTTGATTAGTTTTTTTTTTTGTTTTTTTCGTTGAACTAATATTGGGTATTTCCATTTTCAGTATACTGCTGCCATTACAAAAAAAAAAAAAAAAAAAAAAAAAAAAAAGAAAAAAGATTCCGCCATGTTTTGTTTTTAGGCATTTAATAAAAAAATCAAACAACCTACCTCCTTCTTTTTCCTCCACCACCACCTAATATTGTCACCTTCCATCACCACCAGAGTCGACAGACCCAGAAACTTGGGGGAGGTAATATTTCATTAGTATATATATTAGAATGATAAAAATAGTGGGGCATAATAATAATAAATAAAAAATAAAAATCCAGGGAACAATTCCTCAGTCTAACTTAAGTCTGTCCCTAATCGCCACTTTCAGCTAATACCGCCGCCTTAAACTTACCGCCACCACCTTCCACCTAGTACAATGCCACATTCCAACACTGCTGTCGCCCCCAACTTTTTCTACCTTCCACTACCACCACCTGTTGGAATATGTTTTAAAATAGGATCGCAAGCGAAAAATACTATATGGTATACATATAGAGTATAAAACTACCTATACGTTATGAAAATAATGACATGAACTAAAGTGTCCCTCTATAATTGAATAAAAAATGTCAAAAAAATAATTAAATGTTAAATGACTAAAGAGTCCCTCTTTTTTTTTTTTTTTTTTTTTTTTTTATATATATATATATAAGGACATTATTGAAGAGAAAAAAATGTATTTTTTGAATTTTAGATCTTAAAAATGCCATGTGCAATGCACCTGATCAAATTTGTAACCAAATAATGACCTCAAACTCTTCTTTAATTATTTTTTCAAACTTAATATACTTATATATTCAAAAAGCCAAAAATATGTCTTACAGGCAATATTTGTTTAAAATTTAAATATTAAGAATATTTTTCTCGCTCTTTAAAATATATGATTCATTGAGAAAGGTCTTTAAAATGTTTTTTAAATATATTTGTTTTTTTAATTTATAACCACTTGCTTTGTAGAAGAAGATTAGGAATTTCGATTTTCACAAGAGCTCTCGTCCAGCTTACGCAAGCACTAAACGGTCAACGTGTTCTCAACAAAAGCCTGCTTATCTTTCGGGAAAAAAAAAAAAAAAACCAAAAAAAAAAACAAAAAAACAAAAGTCTGCTTCCATTTTTCACATAAATGATACACACGCCAAAATAAAAAATAAGTCCCTCGTTATTCTTTCTCCAATTATTTGAATAAAACCCAAAAATGAAAAAATAAAAATAAAAATAAAAAAGGGCCGCCGTTTTTGTGTCAAAATACAATTTCATTCATTAAACAATTTAAATTCAATACCATATATATATATATATATTCCACAACTCTAAGACCATCTAGTGTGCCATCCCAACCATTCTTATCATTTTTTAAATAATGTCTCAATCTTTGCAATTTGTTTTCCTGAAAAACCCTCATGTGTGGTTTGGTAGTTGGTACAAATAAACAAAATAAAAGAGGTTGGGATCAAATTAATAGGTTATGATATGTACTCAATTCGATAACATGATAAATTTACGCGGACATCAAATGTTGGGTACCAAAAGTTGTAGGATGATAGTATCTTATTTACTATTTGAAGAGAATGATGAAAGTTCAAATCTTCGTAAAGACAAATGAATGCGTGAGTTTTTTTTATTAATAATAATAAATAAATAAATATATGGGATACTTTTATGTGTTAATAATATTTTAATAAAAATAAATGATAATAAATTAATATGATTAATTATATTTATGGTGTGATTAATTATTATATTATATTTAAACTTATTAATTATCCCTATATTTTTTCGGTAAATGAATAATTGCGTAAAAGAAAAAGGAATATAAAAACAAGCCCAAAGGCAAAGAACAACAGGAGGCCCAAAGCCACAAGCCAAACCAATTATAGAACTAACAGTAAAACACCAATTTGAACTAGAGGAGGAGGGACGAAGAGAGCAACGAAGAACACAAGATCAATTAGGGGTTCGATCTTCCCTACTCAGCGAGCTCGGTATTAAGTGGGCGTTGCTAGTACGTACTTATAGGGCTGTCATACGACTT